TCAGCTCATCTATAGATCACTCATGGTATGTAACACAGTCTAATGACTATGTAAATAGTTGCCACACCAGAGAATAATCATGAGAAACAATGACCATACAAGCTCAGTACAGATTAAGCCTTGTATGCCTGATCACATTTTTATCTGAAGTTAGCTGGGTCCATGGATATGGAACCCATGGACACACAGGACATTCAGTCTAGATCAGATATAGATCTAAGTCCATAGAAAAGAGGTAAGCAGAACATATAGATATGGATGGATATGTAAACACCATCGCTTCTTCTCTTATTATATTCCACAGACCCACAGAAGCATAGAGTGGCTGGGGCCCAGCTCGTGCTGCTAAAACAACTGAACCAGACACTAGTGTAACAAACTCAGGATTGAGCTCCAGGGTTTGGAAGCAGTTTATGGCCAACACTGTGTGTCAAACAATGACAAATACCATCAATCTATTCTCAGTGGTTTTTACCGAAGTGTGTAGACTTGGCCAGATGCTCTCAACATTAGAAGATAATAAAAACTTCTAGTTCTCTGTATTCTATAGATATTAATGTTTGTCTGATGAGTAACTCAACCTTATTTCCAATTCTGTGTGCTATCTCTTAACCCTTTTAATTGCTTATATTGCTTACAAAGACTATGCATTTCATGTACCCCATTAGTCAATTCCTGGGGTTATGTCTTGTGCTATTAGAATCTTTTTCAGAATCTTTTTGCCTATACCAACATTTTGAAGCACTTCCCCTGAATTTTCCTCTATAGTTTCAAAGCTTTAGGTCTCTCATTTTCTTTGACCTGTTTTGTAGTTTTTTATGCGGTAAGAATTAGGGATCATACTTCATTCTTCTGTGTGTAGACGCACAGTTTGACATCACTATTTACTGAAGAGGCTTTTTGGTAATGTATGTTTTTGACAAATTTTTCAAAAACTAGGTGTTTCAAAAGCTTTTTCAAAAGCTAGGTGTTCCTAGATGTGTAGTTTATTTCCAGGTCCTCTACTGTAACTCATTCATGAACATGTTCGTTTCTGTGACAGCACGATGCTATTTTCGCTACTATGGCTTTGTTTGAAATCGGGTATTACGGTGTCTCCAGCACTGCTCTTTCAGCTAAGAGTTGACTCTTCATCATCTTTTCTGCTTCTATATAAATTTTTCTTTTTTTCCCTAGTTGGTGGGAATGTCTAGTAATGTCACTAGAATTTTGATGGATCTTTGCTTTTGTAGATTTCTTTCAGTAATGTTGCAATTTTTACAGTATTAATTGTGCCAATCTATGATTATGGGAGGCCTTTCCATATTTAGTACCATCTTTAATATTTTTACTGCCTTAAAAGTTTTTGTTTGTTTGTTTGGTTTGGTTTGGTTTTTGGCAAGGTCTTTCATCTCCATGCTTTAAAAATCAGTTTAACTTGGTTGTGTTTATTACAATTTTTTTTCCTGGCTGTTTGCTAACATCTTTATGTTGGTTTTGTGTCCTGGTTGGAATTATTTCAGTTTGTTAAGCATTTCATGATTTCTCTCCACTAACAATATGAAAAACTGCTACCAAATTGCTCATCAATGAAAGTATCTGTGCATAAAAAGATCTCAATAAACATTTTATATTAAGCTATAATCCCATAATACAGATAAGCAGAAGCTAAAACAGCCATATAAATGCACAAACTATTCAGGGTCAGCAATAACAGGCTTACTTATGGACACACACGTGTGCGTGCGTGCGTGTGTGTGCTCACACACACACACACACACAAAGAGAGAGAGAGAGAGTTGAAGAAGAGAGGATAACTAAATATTAGCACAATTCTTTATCTGAATAGACCTTCATTACTCGGTAAGAACATCATGCTGTTAGGACATCTACAAATAAAATTCATGATGGTCATTCAGCCAAAAAGAAATATAGTTTGGCTATCTACTTAGATGCTTCTATGGCTTATTGGATACAGTTTTAATGACTCCCAAAGATTTATACACTGTAAGTTTGGTTCTTGGTGTGATGATCCAAGGAGGTAAGAGCACATTTAAGAGATAAACCTGACTGTGGATCCTGTAATCTACAATAATGAGCTGCCAGGCAAAGTGTGCCTTCTGATGCAATAGCAGAATGACTGTTATTGGGGTAACCAACACTTTCTTCTTGGAGTTGAGGCCCACTCCATATGAGGAAACTCATGCCTAGTACTGTTTACCTGCTCAAGAGCCTGTGGCTGACAAAGTCATAGGCCTCAAGGGGAAACAATCTACTACTGTTTTCCTAAGTGTTCATGTTGTCAAATTATCTTCTTAATACTCATGTTTATTTCCACAGATTAGTGTTTAGCTCAGCCACAGTATGAGCAGTATCTATTTTCAGTGACAACAGCTCATGAATAGATTAATAACTGGTTCATGTGTCAAGAATGAGTAGTAATGGAATTCATGGCACTAAATGGGATTGCTTTGTCACCCATTCCAAGGCTCATGAAATGAGGCAGAAAGAATATAAGAACCAGAGGGTGGTATGGCCTTTGTACTCATGAATTCACTGCAGCTATGTGTTCCTGCACAAAACCTGAGCAAGGCTGGACTCATCACATTTCATCATGGCTAGGGGAAGTGCCTACGAGTGTTTATCTCTCTCTAAAGAACTAATGGCAGCAACTGGTTGCTAGAAGAGAGGGGCATCATTTTCTTCAGTGGTACAGCCACTAATGTGTTACCAAAAAACTCCAAGAAATAACTCATGCTCATTCAAGCAAGTCTAATCAAAGTCTTTATCATGCACAGCAAGGAAATTTGCACCTAGGAGGGGGACTTCGAGAGAAGAAGGGTTTCGTTGAGAGAAAAGCAAGATGAGAAGGTAATGGAGGGTTAAGAACAACTAAAGTGTGTGTGTGTGTGTGTGTGTGTGTGTGCGTGTGTACTGTTAATAAAGGGATGGGAGGCAGACCCTCACAGAAAGTTTTTAAGTCATTTCGAGTGTGCCTCTTGAAAGTACTAAGGTAGTTCTAGGACCTGAGAATGTTTGCCCAAGAGTGAGTTGCTGAATAGAAGAGTTCTCTTTTTCCCTGCAGCCTGGCTTTAGGTCTTGTCTGAATAATTTTTACCTCTGGGTGTAGCAATCTCCTCTGAACTGAAACATTTTTATAGTGAGGGAGGAGAGAGGATCTGAAGATCCAGAAAATAAAAATACCAAGATTCAGGAAGATCCTGAAACTTACAAGACTTCAGAAGGTCCTACTGAAGATGGTGCATGCCACAATAGTCACTAGAGAGAATAAACTTTTCTGTGGGGTTGATTACAAGTTTTTCAGAGAACCTCAAGAACTCAACTTTCATGAATCATAAAAGCCATCCCATGCTGGGATGAAGTTTTCAGGGAGGCAGCTGCCTTTGAGTCATACCATACTCCTGTAAGTAATTTCTTATCCATCCTCCTGTAAGGAGTGATAATAAACTTACTGATCCACTAAGATAAAGGGTTGGAATTCTGTTGGGTCTTTTGTTGGTGCCCTATTTAGGATGAATACACATTTTGTTTCTATCTCCCCAGGAAAAGTCACACGTGATATCCTCTTAACACATAGTCTACTCGCTGCTCTACTTCCGGATACACACCACCACAAAGAAATAAGAACAGCAAGTTAGTTGTTTTGTAGATTTTTCCCACCTCATAATATTTAAGTATTGTGTTAGGTCACATTCATAGTGCTCACGAGGTTCACACAGCATTGGGCATGCCTGACTGATTTCTATACACCTTCCAGCATTAGATATACATGCTGCTTTGTAGAAAGGAGAATTGTTAGAATTCAAAATTCCATTCTTTCCTTTCACTCACCAAGTGCCACCGTATTCTCTATCGCTCTAAGCCATAACTGGTTGTTTCACAATGCAGGTGTTACAATGGAGTCACAATCTAGCATCATCAGCTAGAGCCTGGCTCCAGGTAGGCATAGCTGAGCTAAAGTCCAACCATCAACTGTGCTCCTCTTTGGCCTATGTCACTTTCTCCATCTGGACATAGTCCACGAAGTAGCCTGTCTTTACAGATACCCGCCAGTAGGGCGTGACCAGAGAGCACCCCACTCAGAAATATCCGTCATCTTGTTTTGCCCTTAACACCGCACCCCTGAGAATCTTATCTTGTTATGTAGAAATTTAAATCAACCACAAATAGAGCCAACTTTTTAAAAGGTTAAAATAATCACACTGCAAAATGTAGTCAGAAGAGTCACCCCAGGCTACCTCAAGTACCACAGCCTAAGTAATGCTAAGCCTGTACCCTCCCCCAGACTGAGCCCTCAGCTTTCCACCAACACAGAGAGACAGTTATATAGAACTTTCTGGAGCTCCTAGGATGTATGCACAGGTAACAGATTGTTACACGGAGATACGTAGGTGCAAAATGTACTTAGGATGGCTTCTAGGGTCATCACTGAAGTAAACAGATGATACAAGGTTGTCATAAGTGCCAAGAAGACCCAGAGAGTCAGCTCAATTGAAGAAGGTGAGCTGAAGTGGAATGCTGGCCATATCCCAAATTGGCGCCAAAGGATGTGCCTTTATATCTCCATGCTGACCAATGATTGATTAGGAGCTTCCTGGGCTTCGAGGGTGACCTTTCAGGAGGTTATTACATAGCTAAGAGTGATCCTCGGGGTGCTTAGGGGTGGTGCACACTCAGCTGAACCCTGCCAGTTGTTGGCACTCCTCTCGGTTCAGAGATCAGAGCCACACTGCTACAAAGAGGAGCAACATGCAACTCTGCAGCAGACGATGGAGTTTCCTAAGCAACCTCTGGACACTGAACCGGGTCTTCAGAGTCAGCGCCATCAAACAAAAGCACTGACTGTGACTTGACATCATAGCAAGAACAAGAGGGAAGAGATTCACCTAGGGATGAGCCGAAGCTTCAACCACAACACAGGGCTGTTTCCTCTGTGCTTCAGACTGAAACCTTTCACATTGGCTCCACCCCTCCTGTTTCTGTACTCGGGGTTTGCAGAACTGCAGCAGGAGTGGTGCTGAAACCAGCTTCCTTGAGGACAGTGTGAGAACTCATCAGTTCCTGCAGAAGGTGAGTTGAGCGGGAAGCCACAGAGCATGTGGGATAGGGACTGGGGGACTGGGCATGGTGCACCCCAGGCACTCTGTGCATGAAGCTGAGAGTCCCTGAAGGCTAATGAGACCGCTTAGGATGGGGTCCATCATCTCATGATTAGCAGGGAAGGCTTGCATAATGGTCAGCTTCCGCCCTTGTCATTAGAAGCTGTTGCATGAAAACCCATAGTTTTTCCTTAAAATGTCACTGCTTGAGGCAGATCTTCAGCTCTAGGAGACAGGCTGTAAATATGCCCTAGATTCTGTCAAACCCCCCCCCCCCCAAATCAAACCTCAGCACGCTGATGACTGTTGGAAGACCATCAACATGGACAAGATTGAAATCCTGTTGCTGACACTGTGTCTAGGTCCACCTTGTGCTTCTCAGGAAAGAGGTTGTGACCCTAAAAGGGGCTGGAAAGGAGGATGGGAGCTCGGGGAACAAGATGAGATGTGCTGAAGGACCAATGTAGCTGTAGTTCTGGCTGACCCTGTGAACTCAGAGCTTGCAGTCCCAGGTTTCTTCTTTAATGATGCTGGGGAATGTAACAAAGGGCCTTGTACACTGAGCTATGGCTCCAGCCCTGTCTCAGTTTCCTTCCCACAAATGGATTTGCATAGCAAATGCCTTAATCCTGAGTGCTGGTCACACTTAGCACTGTAAACAGCCTTTACAGATCTTGCCCTGTCAAGTCCCAGGAGCACTGTGATGGGTTGGTGGCATTGTCCATTTCTACAGTGAAGAGAACTGTATCTCACAGGGCTTCAGGGATGCTCAAGAGTGATGCAGGCCCTGACCTATCTCTGCACCCTTCTGAAGAATCTTCTGTTTACTTCTTAGTTTCTGGCTCTCTAGGTCTTCTGGAAACCTCCTTAAAAGTTTTTTTTTTTAATTTTTTAATTTATTATTTATTACAGTGCATACACTTTGTATCCCAGATGTGGCCCCTTCCCTTGTCTCCTCCCAATACTTCCCTCCCTCCCTCCCTTTCTCCCTTTCTCCTTCCCTCCCTTCCTCCCTTCTTCTTCTCTTCCTTTGCCCCTCCCCTAGTCCACTGATAGGGAAGGTCCTCCCCTCCTCCCCTTCTGTCTGACCCTAGCCTATCAGATCTCATTTTTGAGATGAGTATTTCTAACTCTGCATCTCCAGCTTGCCTTGCCAGTGTTGGGGGGGGGGGAGCCAAGTGAGAGATGGACAGTCTTTGCCTGGCATGCTTAGGGCAGGCTTGTCTCCAGCTTCACTTCCTGAGGGGAGGGCTGTCCTCTCCCCTCCTGTTCCTGGTGGCACGTCTGATGTGATCTCCACTAGCCTTTCAGAATTGGACCTGAGGTTGAGCCAGGAAGAGGTCTCAGGGTTTATGGGGCATGTGATGGAGTGAGAGGGTCTTGGCTTCCCATCTCTGAACTGGGCAGTGTGAGTACAGGTTCCTGGGGCAAGTGTTTGCACATGTTGAAACTACCGTTTCCTTACCTGTAAAATTAGAAATAAATTCTCCATCCTTGAGCCTTTATGAGGAGAAAATACTCCCATGGAATGTACATTTGTATGGAAGCAGCACAAACCTTAACTTTTTACTAGAGAAAATAGCACACATTGAGTAGAGTATAGCAACTCCTGGCCATCAGGTTTTGTGCTTATTCTGGCCCACTGCTTGTTGTACCCCTGATGGTTTAGAAGCTGATAGCACACATCCTACACATAGTTTTATGTGAAACTGTGTCTGCCTTTTGTGCACAACATAAGGGTCCACTTTCATCACTCTCAGGATGCCAAGAACACTGTCCATCTTTAATTGTATCAACACCCACCATCAACTCTCAGGTCTGATGCACTTATCACAAAGCATTCACAGTCAATTTTGTTTGAATTAGGAAACAGGGCTGAGTGAGAGGATCACTGTTCATTTAATATACTTTCTGGTAAAGAAGTTTGGGCCAGCCACTCTCCCAGGATTCCCTGATTCCACGGAGGAGAATAGTACTGAGGATTGACTGTTCAGAAGTGGGAGCCATGGCTGATGGGAGTTGAGAGTGGCATTGTTTCGTGTGTGTGTGTGTGTGTGTGTGTGTGTGTGTGTGTGTTTATATCCGCATATAGCTGCATTTCCAACATATACACAGGTGATAATTTGAGGGTGTAAATATCAACATGGTTATTAGTTTTTTTAGTATAAAAAAATTCAAGCACTTCTTCATTCTTATTGATTATTTTCACACTCTGCAGGGATCTTCAGTGAACTTGGTTTGTTTAAATACTCATGAATACAGACTCCCACACAATGCTTCATTTTGTTTTTGATATGGATAGTTGATTTTCAATGATTGCTTGTTATAAAACTATAATTCATATTTACATTATTCCAAAATTAAACCTACAGGACAGTCGGTTCAAGGAAGTCTGCCCTCAAGTCCTGCTGCCTAATTTCTTCTATGTTCCCATCTCCCCCTTTCTTTTGTCTTCTTCTCGTCATGCTGTGTAATGTATTTTTTTTTTATAGCTAGGCATAGAAGTGTGTGCTACACCCTTTCTCGGGTGAGTGATGGGTATTTTAAGCCTTGTTTTATTTAGCACACAGGTCTTGATAACAGAGAAAGTGGAGGTCATTGTCCTCTTCCTGGTCCTGAGCAGTGCTGCTGCTGTGACATCCCATGAGATGGAGTACATCTTCTGTGTGCATGTGATTTATGTCACCAGTCTCCTAGTCATGGCAAATGCGACCATTCTGTTTTTGCCTTTTGTAACTGTGACCCCCAGGAACGAGGTTCTGCACGCTTCTCTTTCTGTCCTTTTCAGTGTGCCTTTGGGTAATCCTCAGATTTGATACTGTGTCATCCAGGGCAAATACTTCAGGGATGACCTTTCACAGACCTGTGTGCTTTAACTTTTCCATCCATCTGAGAGTCTCTGTTTTTCCCACAACTGTATCGATGGAATGTGCTGCTAAACACACAGATGAGAAGCCTATCTGTTACTTACCGCTCATCTAGAGACCTGGGTCCTGTAATAAGCAGTGATCTTAGACACCAAGATCAGAGGTGTTGATGGGCTTGTTTCTGCATACTTAGCAGGCAGAGTCAATAAAGGCACCTAGGTATAATGCTAATGCTGATACTTATCTCTCCACCTACTCTCACTTTATTACCTGTCTATATGCTTTATGTGCATGTGTTTAACTTTTGAGAATGTCCTGAGTACCGCACTTACATCATTTCCAGTGCTCGGGACTGACTGCAACGTTTGCACTTTCTTTATGATATCATTATCCATTATATTTGCAAATTATTTAGGCATTTTTTTCAGTGTTACTGTGCATATGCTGAACCATACATAGACTTGCAAGGAACAGATTGCTGGATAAAGCCTAATATTTGATAAGAGGTTTTTGTTTGTTTGTTTGTTTGTTTTTCTGAAGTTTTACTTCGGAGAGTGAAAATGTCTCCTTGTTTCTTGTTCTCTCTGTTTGAGTTGGCCAGTTCTACAAATACTTAGAGAAAGTGAAGTGGAAACATCTGGGGTTTATTATAAAATATTTTTCCCACTAATAACTTATTAGTTTGGGGACTCCATAGGTTGTGGGCAGTAGAATAGCACTGGAATTCTCTAGTCACCTGGGGCTTGATGTAATGAGTTTGTCTGAGAAGCTATGAGAAACTGTGCACTTTGATGGGGAGCGTGAGAAGTAATTTGTGCCGTCTTTCACGGTCCCTGGACTATCTCACTACATGTGTCGACTTGGGCCCAGACTGGAGGGGGATATTTATACACAAGATACATTTGTGACTCAGACATGAGATTCTCTGCTTTCCCGTTAGGGCGGAATGGTCACCTATGATTCTGAGCCTGGTGACCTCTGAAAACTTTGCTAAACATCACAGTTTATCTGCGATTGCCCCTGAGTAGCAGAACATTTGGAAAATAATTTGCAGCTTGAGAAAGAAAGGCCAACACTGCCCTAAATACCGCACAAATTTAAAGAATTTCCACACCTCCCACCACATGTCCTTGCTGTTCAAGGCTGAGAGTCTCTGCAGCAGATTGTTTGTATACATTAAGATATACTTTCCATCAGGCCAGGAGAATGCCCATGATCTGAAGGCCAGACAAAGATGTTTAGCAAGACCTTGGTTTCAAAACACAAAAACACATAAGGACATACTTTAGAGCCGTCCACCACTGCAACATGGCTAATACCTTCTATTGACTGTTTTCTTATAGGATAGAATGGTAATTGCTACTACCTGGATTCCTCTGAGCTGATGTCTCAAAAACAAAGTTGACTGCATTTTATGAATACATACATACATACATACATACTACATACATACATAAACACACACACACACACACAGAGCAATAACAGATAGTAAATTCCAGATTTAAATCTGGGTAAGTGCTTTCCTCGCTGAGAATGGAGAAAAGCTGCCGTGGGACTAGAATCTTAAAAAGGACATAGCAGAGAGTGTTCTAGATGGGAAGGCTCCAGGAAGTCTTAAACTGCTTAGATCTGCAGGAAAACAGAAAGATCAGAAGGGTTAGGGTGATTTACTTTTCTCTCCTTTGTCACCATAGTCAAGGCACTTGGATTCCAAAGCTTCCAGAGAAGGCCATGGCTGAGCCCAGTGACAATTCTCTGAGGATTGTTCTGGTCGGAAAAACAGGAAGTGGAAAGAGTGCCACAGCAAACACCATCCTGGGGCAAAAGACATTTGCTTCTAGGATCGCACCCCATGCTGTCACCCCATGCTGCCAGAAAGCGTCACGAAAGTGGAAGGAGAGGGACCTCCTGGTTGTTGACACCCCAGGGCTCTTTGACACCAAGGTAAACCTGGACACCACCTGCATCGAAATCAGCCGGTGTGTCCTGCAGTCCTGCCCTGGGCCTCATGCCATCATTCTGGTTATTCGGCTGGGCCGCTACACAGATGAAGAGCAAGAAACTGTCACTAGGATCAAGGCTATCTTTGGGGAAGCAGCCATGAAGTACATGATTGTCCTGTTCACCCGCAAAGAGGAGCTGGAGGACCAGCTCTTAGATGAATTCATTGAAGATTCAGATCCAAACCTAAAAAGCATCATCAAGGAGTGTGACGGCCGCTGCCTGGCCATCAATAACAAAGCGGAGAAGGCTGAGAGGGAGATGCAGGTGCAGGAGCTGGTGGAGCTGGTAGAATCAATGGTGCAGAACAATGGCGGGGTCTGCTTCTCCGATCCCATATACAAAGACGCGGAGAAAAGGCTGAAGAAACAAGAAGAGACCTTGAAAAAGATTTACACTGATCTATTAGAGAAGGAACGTAGAATAGTGGAGGAAGAGTATGCTCTTGGGAAGTTTATTGCTCAAGAAAAAGAGGGAAAGTTACAAGCAATTAGGGAAAAATATGACAAGAAGATAAGAAACTTACGTGAAGAAGCAGAGAAGAACATACTCAACGAGATTGTTGAAGGAATTAAGAATATTCTTCTGAAAATATGGCATTTTTTTTAAGTATTCAGGTTTTTTGTTTTGTTTTGTTTTTCATTTGTTCTGAGCATTTCTCCATCTCACTCCCTATCATTCTCCCTGCTGGTTCTTTCCTACAGCCAACAACAAACTGAAGAGCCAGCAAAGCCAGGAATTCTGTGTACTAGCGTCAGGACTCTGTCAGCTCCAAGGCTGGATCACACTCCACACTCAGCTCCCTGCGCTAGCCTGTCCTGTCTTCCCACCGCGGTGTTCTGAAATGCCTCTGTACCCAGGAGCCAAAATAAACTCTGCCTCCCATAAGCTGCTTCTGTGAGATGTTTTGTCACACTAACAGAAAAGTCAAAAGAGAGCCCTTTTTCAGTTTGTAATTCTGATTTTGTTGTTAAAGGCAATCATCTATAGTGTTAGGACAACACTGGAGTTTTTGTTCTAGATTTCAGAGACAAATTCTTAACCACTACCTCACCCACCCACACCCACACCCGCCACCATTACATACTAGTGTTTCCTCTAGGACCATGCTTTTGTTGGTAACTCTTCAGAATCACTCACTCAGGATTGCTTAATCCCAACTCCTCACAGCCTCTGTCACCCGCAGAAAGTGAATTACTGACACAAGCTTTGGGCTGGAACACAAGGATAAAAAGAGAGAAGAAAGTAATTCCCTACATTCACTGTGAGAAACTGTCCTAGACGTCGGCTGAGGGCCAACGCTTGAATGAAACCCATATCCCCCTTGACTATAGGATGTTAAATGCCTACTGTTCTGAGAGTTCAGGTTTTCGGTCTTCTGGATGAGTTGGCTCGGTTTTGATCAGCCTTTCAGTCTTTGCCCAGCTTCTCTGTCTTTTGTGACTCTATTGGGATATGAAACAATGGCAATCAGTAATTTTTAATAGTGATCAGAAACAAGAATCAAAGCGCACACATTCCAAAGAGAAACAATCATTTCCCAAGCACCCAACCAGCAGGAAGGGCTCAGAATCTGACTAGCAGATTCCACCTGATGGGTGATGAAGCTGTGAAAGTGCCTGCAGGCCAGCTGAGGGATCCTCTGGCTCATGTGGGAAACCCATTTCCTTTTCTCCTTAACTTGGCCTTCTTTGTACAATTGTTAGGATATTGTTAATATATTCCTGATGCCAGCTAAAGATAAATTTTTTGCCCTTAGACCAACGTAGTTGTCATTGTGGTCTCTTGTCGGGAGCCACTCCAGCCATTACAAGATGGCGCCGGCTTCCTGCTTCCTGGTTCTTC